TTGGTCTCTGCAATCTAACATCATTCAAAATTTGGTAATTGTGAATATATCCATAATAAATTACTGATATTTTTATAACAAGAATTTAGACTTCGTCACCGGACTTTGTAGGGAAGGATAGTCCACAGTGAGGCAAAAAAATCTTTCAAATTTTCAAATTAATTGTGTGAACAAAAAAAACAAAACAGTATAGCAATACGCTTTGATGAGCATCTTTTGCATCTAAAATTGCATTAGTTCAGTTTAGAATTTTTTTTGAAATGGTCGAAATATTGTTTTAAAAAATGTCAAAAATGTCTCACTGTGTACCATCAGTCGTGCGCGGTTAAAGCATAACGATATCGGACTGGTTCACAGAAGCTAAATCGGGTATTTCTGGAAATGTAAATCCATTATTGTTTTTAAGGCCCTTCCTAAGGTAGGACACTTCATAATCCTTTGCTGCGTCCTTCCCTTTTAATATCCTTGCCACGAAGAAGACATCGTTCGGGAACCGAACCATAGTTATCATCATCAACGATTAGGTTCCCGTTTTAAGTCTTAAAACTCTGTAAACGATTCTTCTTCATCTGATGACTGATCATCATACATTATCTGAAAGTACAATTTTTGTAGAAAATTCAATTCATAGAGATATTACCATTGTTTACCTGAGAATCATCTTCGTCGTCTGATGTATTGTCATTATCTTGAGTCCTTAAATTTTTCGTAGTCTTGTTAAATAAGTCCTTGGTAACACGTTTTATTTCTTTGCTTTCTTGCATTTTCAACTAGTTTTCCAATTTCTTCTCTTATTTTGCAGCAATTAGATCCTTTTCTGGCGTATCCGTCAACACTGTGCTTCCTCCTCGTTATTGAGGTCCAGATAATTTCTTCCTTCGTGATAAAGCTTTAGGAAATCCACGAAATATTTTCGAGGAAATAAATTCTTTTCCTTTTCTTGATTCGATTGCGGTTGTTAACAACTACTTCAGGTTCTTCCTTTTCTTTATTTTCAGGTTCAGTAGATCTTTTTTCAACAGAAGAAGAGGCCTCAAGATGTTCTAGAGGTCTATCAGTTACTGAGGAAGTATCTGTAAATACATCCCGGTCAAACGGAAATATTCCGGACCTCTTGAAGTCCGAAATTATATTTGAAGTTTTCACGGCCTTTGGTAGAGCTCTTCCAGTCATTTTAGCAAGTTGGTATATATTATTGAGAATACTAGGACTTTTAGCCAGCCAAATATCAACTTCTGCATTGTAGTATGCCTGCAATGGCCCAAACCTGTTATATCTAATGGTTGCATATTATGGCTACAGTGCGGGGACAGTGTTAACATTATGATTCCATGTTGCTTGGCCATGTTTAAAACTTGAATACCCATATGGAACTCGTGGTTATCACATAATATGAGAAAAGTGGGCTTATCTTTTGTACTATTTGTGTATTTGATGAAATGTTTCATTACAGAAACAAATAGTTCTGTTTTCATCAACCCGGATGTATTAGCTAGGCCAAGTGTTCCAGTTGGTGCCCCATTAATCATAATTATGCTGTTTGAAATTTATCCTAGGAAAAATCATTACTGGGGGTATAAATGTTCCTGCACCTGGAATACCCACCAAGAGAGTTACTAGTTCTCCCCTCTCGCCACTAGTGCTCTGGTTTAGCTGCTTTACTCCCTTATGTGCAATGACCTTTTTGGGTTTTTGGACTGTAGTCAGGCCGGTTTCGTCCAAGTTGGAGACTCGCAATCCATCTGCTAACTGTGAAAATCGTTTCAAAATGGACTCCAGGTTATTAAAAAATAGTATTACATTGTGTTTTGTGTGTAGATAGACTGCAAGCTTCAGGATATAAGAAACCTCTCGTCCATTAATCCATTCTTTGCCAGCATTGTTTTTTCTTCCCACGATTGTGGAATTCTAATGTTGTTCTCTTTTGCCATATCATAAGCTAATTTTCTTAAAGCTACAATTGATAATCCATACGCCATTTTACTACATATTTGTAAATACTCGCCAAGATGAGCATCCTGTGCTCTGCTAAATATTTGCCTAACTTCATAATGCGGCTGCATTCTTATTTCAGTACCTGGATGTAATTGGGCCTTTTTCACATATCGATGCAACGTCTGTAGTGGAATTTCACTAGTTCTCTCTTATAGATAAGTTCTGTTCTGTAACTAGCTTGATAGCTACAGCCATATCTTTTCCGCACTTTTTTCCTATTTTTTTCTAGGCTTGTCTTTAGGTCTCAACATTTTAAAGTTTGTGTCTTTGTTTCCTTACTAGAACAAAATGCCAGTATATACCATGAGTAGTGTACAGTGAGACACCGACTCAGTGTGTACTACCTGATACCGTCCCACTGCGTAAACAAGCACCAACAACATAAAATTAGTGTAGTTTCTTAACCAAATATTTTAATAAATCGCTACAAACACAAATATATATATTGCTAAAAAGTAGGTATGTGTTCAAATATACTTCCTTGCAAATTGAAGAGACTGCACAATTGAGGAATTTTAACTGTGTATATTTCAGGTAAAAAGATAAACAACTGCGCCGTAGGCGGCAATATGGCTGGTGACATCTGTCGTCCATCTAAGATTTATTACAGGGTTGCCAAATCTCAAATATGTTCTAAGGTCTTAGAGAAAAATGTAATAATGTCCCACTGTGAAAGCCGTCCTAGTGTGGACTACCCTCCCCTACCTATTTACAATAAAGTTTCAAGAAATACACAAAGTATTTTTTGGTAAATACGTGACAGCAAATAACTGAAACGGAGCAAATTAGTTATTCAAATGATGGTAGACTTCATAAAAAATACCGGAGAAGAGCAGGACCGGCTTGCTGCACTTTTACAACAACACAGAGATTAAAAGAAAAACAAGAAGAGAAAACTCAAAAACAGGAAAAGAAGTAGAAAAGAGAACAAGGCCAACAAAATTTCGACAACAATAAGATCAGTTAGCAGAAGAAGAACAGGACCGAAAATTGTAAATTTCAGCCAGAATGGATCCAAACCATAATTTCTAAAGCCGGGTTCGGGTTGACAAGGCCAAGTGTTGGATGAGAACTTGAACTAAGTAAGTTGGCAGCCAGCCCACCTACTTGGATATTAGAATCTATTCAACTGGACTTGGATGAACAATTGATACGATCCAAGTATCGTTCAAGTGAGGCGCGCGCAGCGTCCAAGGGTAGTTGATCCAAGTACACTTGGACCGTGTCAACCGGGTTTCAGGAAAAATAACACACTCAAGAAAATCTTGGCAGGGCGTTATAATAAATTCAAGAATGCAATGGAAGAAGAACGTGAAGAAGTTTGAAGTTATGCCAGGAAATATGGTACTGTTCGTCAGGAAGTTGGAACTTTCCGCCAATAATGGGACTTAAGGTTGTCTCAGCTTCTCCTCTCAAGTAGGACTCCCATGTTGGGCCAATATTGGGACAATACCTGAGATTTATTGGCCCAAATCAGATTTTCTATGTTGGCCCAATAAAAGATGTGCACATTTTGTAATATTTGTCCAAGAACGTATGTCAATATTGTACCCAACAAATTATATGAAGAAGCTTATGAAATATAGAACCAATTGAAATTACCAATATTGGCCCAAAGATGATATAATCCTTGGCTTTATTTATATATTCCATTAGGGTAACGGACCAATTATAAGGACCGATTGAGAAGTGTTTTCTCTTTCTCTCTGTCGGACCATCCGTGGACGCGTTTCGCTGTATCACAGCTCATCGGCAGGGTTAGGTCCCGCCAGGGTCCCGCAAAAAAAAAACACACGCAATTTTTGGTTCCATCACGGAACTAAGTTTAAAGGGGGTGTGCGCCAAAAAAACAACTTCATCTCTAAAAAAAGAGAAAAAAAATCTAAGAATAACAGTGAAAACCGCAAGCCTCTATGACAAATAATACTGAAGATATGGCTCTATGAAGGTACCAAATCTCACCCTATCTATGACGTCACGAAAGCTCAAGCGACGCACGAGAAAGTGAAGTAAATTAAATATACATATGTTTTTCCTGTGTCACCTGCAATAATCTAAACAAAAACCACTCACGCGTGCCGGGAACAATCAAATTAACAATGCGGAGCGCGGCTGAACGAAGCTCTCGTGACGTCACACACACTTTAAAACGGTATATCTCAGCGATGGTTTATCGTAGAATAACGAGGTTTGAACAGTTATTCTTAGATTTTTTTACACTAAAACTTTAATTTTTGGCGCACACCCTCTTTAAGATAAATTAAATGAAGACAGAGTCTCTATCTATTTTCTGGTCGGCACACCAAGTGCTAACCTTGGTGAAAATTAGTGTGTAAATATTGGGCTTTTCAAAAAGTATCAATATTGTGAAAAAATTTAAAATAAATATTGGCCGTACAAAGGTTTTGAAGTGAATTTAAATATCAATCAAAAATTGAATGCCAATATTGAATTAATATTATATTACAGTATTGTTTTCATAATATAAACTGTAGTATTTGGCCAATATTTCATAAATCAATATTGTTGTGAAAAATCTTGGGCCAAAATTCAAATTACTGAAAACTTAATCAATCTATGAAAACAATATTGGTACAAGATTATTTTTGAATATTGTTTCTATACAGTTAAAACCAATGTTGCCTCAATATTGGTACTGTGTTGATTTAGCAACAAAAATAAATGAATATTGGCCCAGCTAAAAAACGGAATTTACCCAATACTATGTAATACTTGGGGCTGCAAATGGTATTAAAGCTAAGAACAAAACAACAGAAAGACGCTGAAAGTTAACAAGAATTTTTTTCTCTGTTATCTTTCGAATATCTTCCAAATCTTGATTCCTATAGAGTCAGATCAAAGTGCTGATCGATATACATTTTAGCATAAAGTTCATTGTAGAAATCTTGGAAAATATGGCTAAAATTTCGTCACAATTTTTATTTGCGTACCTACTTGTTTTTCATTCAACGAAAAGTAAATTATGATTTTTTTTTCTTTTTCAGATACATCAGAGGATGAAGACGAGCCACTGATACCTGTATGGAAGTGTTTGGATTGTGTCACAAGATTCCCGGTCAAACAGTTACTTTATGAGCATCTCCTCGATCATATCAAGCAACCCGTGGTAGAAATAGATATAATCCCAAAACTGGAGAGAATATCTAGTCCGCATCCTCCCCTCAAACTCACACTGAAGGTAAGAAAATTGTAGCAATAAGGTAGCAATGGGATGGGAACGAATAATCGTGGCACAAATCCCAGCGAGATCTGAAGATTTCATCTTCTTTGGTTGGCTTTCGGAGACATACTTGACATTTCAAAAGGGTCATAATACAGGAATTTGAAGGGGGATGAGTTTTTATGCAAAATTCACCTTCCCTCTTTCAACCCCCCAGCCCCCAGAGCCACCCCTAAAAAATTTTAAATGCATCATTTTGGAGGGTTTTTAATTCCATAAATTTTGGTACAAAATTTTAATCCCTAAGTTCAAATTTTTCGGAAATATTGACAGTTGAAAATTGACTTTTTTGCAACTCTCTGACAGACTGTTAAACCTAAACGGTTAATTTTAGAGAAAAACCGATCTTACATTCTTATTTTAGATTTTTATAAACTATCATTTGACAGCAACTTTTAATTTAATCCATGATCAAAAATTTCGGTTAAAAAATTAATCTCCGGTTAAATTCAAAAGTGGTGTCAAATGAGTTCATGAAAATCTAAAGATAAGAATGTGATATCGGTTTTCCCCTAAAATTAACCGTTTAGGTTTTACAGTCTGTCAAAGTAGCAAAAAAGTCAATTTTCAACTGTCAATGTTTCCAAAACAGTCGAACTTAGGGACTAAAATTTAGTATCAAAATGTATGGAATTAAAAACCCTGCAAAATGATGTATCACTTGACCGCTCTTTCCATTTAAAATTTTGTAGGGGGTGGCTCTGGGGGCTGGGGGGTTGAAAGAGGGAAGGTGAATTTTGCATAAAAACTCATCCCCCTTCAAATTATAGTTGACGTGTTTCAGGGATTTTTTCGAAAAATTTTCTACTCCGAGATAATAGGGATGGGAAGTTTTCAAATTGACACCGTGTATGTATTGTCTGGCTAGCGAAACGGCGAACTGCAAAAGAATTTGCTGCTTTGCCAAACTTGACGGAAATTAGAAACAAAATAATAAACAAGTTGGTGACATTTTTTTTTTGCTATATGGGCATGTGTCATATTTTGAAATAGGAAAAAATCAGGCAACATTGCGAAATGATGGAAGTGGAGAGGCGTGATTATTCAGAAACAAGATTCTATTGGTTAGAGCCTGAATGACAGCACGCAGTGGCGTGGTTATTGGCGAAACTAGAGAATCTTTTTTCTAATAATTTTATTGGTTTCTTTCCTTGGTGTTTTCGGTGCCACTGAACTCAAAGACATGGCTGTCATCAGACGGTGTCAGTTGAGGTGTCAGTGAATATTTTTAGGTAACGCCCCAGTTTTCTTCCCCCTTTCGTCTCTACCAAGTTACCACTTGCCACACTATACCTACCTGAGTGAGTCACCATATTTTGACACCCTCCTGCACCTAACAGGTGATAGGTAAAAGGTGTAAATACAAAAGTTGTAGCATTGTATCTGAACCGCAAGAATTTTTAGTTAAATTTAACAAATGAGCAACACAAAGTAAAAACATAAGTCGATGTTCACTTTTTTTAAATGGAATGCCCCTTATTTTCTTTCAAATTTCTTGAAGTTCTCGTTTTTCTGATTCAGATTATATAATATGTTGATGTTTCTTTCAATAGTTTTGGAAATATCTGGAGTTTAATTATTCAAAGACAATAGTTTTTTGAATTTATTTCACCTTGATTTACCTGTCACCTGTCACTGTTACAAAACACTCTGATAGGTGAATAGGTCTTGAAGAAGTCAAAATGAGAGAATAAAATATAGAAACAAACACTAATAACAAATGCTGGTTTAAGCCCTCACGATTTTCGCAGAAATTTTTTGATGTCTGTATTTTTCTATGGGAATAGTCGCATTTAAGCCAAAAAAGACTTTCATCTACTGTTACATACATAGTCTCCCATAGGTTTCCATGTAAATGTTACCTAAAATAGGTTTAATTTTGAAAAACTGCATATATTGAATGTATTTGTTTCAATCACATTAATTTGCAACAGATTCTACAGATGAACATCCATAATACAACAGTTAAAAACTATAAAAAATCAAAAACACCCGTTTAAAAATATAGGCTCTGTTGTAGGAAGGATGCTTTAAAGTTTGTCTGCGTCCTTTTTCACTCATAAACCAGGTAGAATTTTTGAGTTAGGTAGGTAAAGACTAGGGGCTTCTATTGTTTGCTTTGCTCAAGGATTAGCTTAACCCTGGGGCGAGAAAAACCTCAGGAGGCTAGACATTTTAAAACAACTTAGCAATTCTAGTTTTATACCTTTTCGCCTTTCTAATAATAATTTGTTGATTAATTAATCGATGAAAGACGAAAGTTCATTGCCATTTCATATTGTTCCTGACTAAGTTATTATAGCCAGTCAATCGATGAATTAAATTTGGAATGCTAATAGCAATTTTACTCTCGACAGTAGTAACACAGGTAGATTATTCCTAAACTGAAAAAGGGGTCTGAGATCGCTCCCACAAGCGAAAATCCTAAATATACCTAAAGAAGCTTAATGCTTCAAGATAATCTAAAATAACAGTATTGTCAACTCCACTGAAGTGAAATTTCTTCAAACGCTGTTATAATATTGTCACGCTTAGGTTGTTTGTGGTCAGCTGTGCCACCACGTACTTTATCTACACTTGGCTGCGTCGGCTAAGGGTTTATCCTGAAAAGAGGCTATGGGGGAAAGGAAAGATTTCACCACTAGTAGTTAATACATCTATTGTTACACCTTAATTTATGTAGGAGATGATTAAATAGGGATTACCAAAAACAGATCGCAGTAAATGTTCTTCCCTGGTGGGCCATCATTTAACATTCCCTTGGAATGCCTATTTTTAGGGAAAGCCCTACGCTGTCAATAGTACTCAAACAGCCCTATGAGAATGTACCCACGAGGAACTTAGTTTCCATAGGTCTAGGTTTGGGGCGTTGAGTAGGGCTTCTACAGCATGACATTTACCTTAAGATCTCAGTCGTACTGTAGCAAGTCACACCCAACTTGGAGAGAAAGTATTTAGGCCTGTACCCTAGAGGAGCTTGAGGCTGTGGAGACTAACCTCTACCTGACTGCATTGCGGTGCGCGTAATTTATAAAAGAATTATTGCTACCGTCAGCAGAGTCAGTTAATTTTCTGTAGTACAAGCGCCAAATTCATTTTATTTTTATAGTCTGTGGGCTTGTAGACATTTAAAAGTTGACAATATTCAAATATAGAAAACAAAATGTGAAATTATATTTCTCTCCAGCAATCCCGACTACTAACTCGACTACGTGGCAGTAGAGGGGATGCCTAGCGTTGCATGTTTTCGTTATTATACATAGCAATTCGCATGAAACGAACTTACCCTACCGTGCGTAAAGAAGTTTCACTTCAAAAACACAACTTAAATTTGATTCAACTTCTACTTAGAAACCTATAAAAAATGTTTTTATTTTTCTTATAATTCTCATTGGATTTTTCAGACCAACGGAGGCGATAACAAGTTCGAAATCGTAACGCCCAACACATCGCCCTCGTCCTCGGACCCAGGCTGTACAAGCAACAGCCTGGACGAGGTATCAACAGAAGCTGCAGAGTTTGACGGTAAACACGAGGAAAATTACGAAGAAGACTTTTACAAAATTGACGAAGTCAACGATGGTAAATTTTAAATATAGAATTTGGTATTTTGTGATAATTATTGACAAAACATTTCAGAGTTGGAAATAAAAGATCAAGCAGGAAGTCCCTTTGATAACGGCGAAATCGAAGGGGAAGATAGTCGAAGTTCTATTGGTGGATCGGCGCATTCTTTTGAAAATTTGCAAGAGGTAAGAGAACAATAACCATTGTACACAAACTGTAGATGGCTAAGTTCAATACCTACCAATTTATGTATGAAACTTTTCTATATAAAATTTAAGGATCTATCATTGTTGATTAGAACATTGTTCGGCCTGAAAAAATATTTTAGGAATTAGATTTTTGTGAGCCTTGTTTTCCAGTGGGTTTGGGTTTGATCGCCTTTAAAATTCCTGAAACGCATGTATTTTTGGACACGGACAAATTGTTTTTTTGGAGAAAATTGGAAAGTAGGTGCTTATTTCACGAGTTCATGTGTAAAGACGATTATAAGACAAAAATATATGGTGTACAGTTCAGTATCTTATAAAGGGAGACAGAAAATTAAATTCTAGGATATGATTGAAAGTCAGTCTTTGAAGTGTATAGCAGAGAGCAGCAGTCTTTTCTTTTGTGAAGATATGATAATGGTTTCAAAGTCATATCTTGAACCAAATAAACTATTACAAGAAAGAAAGAAAAAAAGAGGGTTTATGTAAATATCGATGATGATGATTATCATATTATGCAGAATTCGAATTTAGAGAGTATCACTACCTCAAACTAGGGAAGCATCAAGAACTCATATCAGAATGAAGACATTCCATCGTCTATTCAAAATCAACAAGTCTATATAGAAGTGGAAAGACCTACAAGACAAATTTTCCTAGAAAATTTTGAAAAAACGATCTGACGAGTACTTTTTTAACAAACGGCATGAATGCTGATGGCTATGATTATAATAAAAATGGATTTTGATTAATGTGACTTGGAACGTCATGTGGCAAAAGTATAGCCTGCAATTTTTTTGCGATTTGGGCCCCATATTAGGCTAAAAGAAACATTTTCAATGTTGAAAATATTAATTTGACAAAAACTTTTTGGCGTTTTGTAATATTTTGCTGCAGGTAAAAAATCGCTGACAGCTGCTGTCAGACAATTTTTCAACCAAAAATATCTATTGACATTTCTGGATTGGTCAAAATTATTTAACAATTTTTTTTGTTTTTTATTTGGTTTCCAATCCATTTGTTACTAATCGATAAATTGTTACTTGGCAACCAAAGTTGAATTTTCACTAAAATACTGGTAAAAGTGTCAGAAAGTTACATTTTCAACAATACCTTTGTACAATTTTCACGTTTGTGAAAGTTAATTCATCCCAAACTTCAAATATAATAAGTCACTTCTCGGAATTTGGGTTGATAATAGTTGACTATTCGACTAATTGTGAATAATCTTTTGATTGCAGGAAAACGACGAACACTCTGAGATAAACTTCTCCCCGAATCTAGCCGAAGTTATTGGAGGAGCGTTTTTGGCCGACATAAATTCCCCCGTATCTTTCGCTGAAAGTCCTACGGGCCAAGACGAGTCACAGGGCAGCCCCAGGGAAGAGAAACACGATACCAAAGAAGAGAAACACAATACCCAGGAACAGAAATACAATATCGATCAAAGTAGTGAAAATCATAACGACAACACGGCGGAGGTAAGGATTCTGTCAATGTCAAAGTTTCTTACTTTTGATTTTTTGATACCTATTATCTATTCACAATCCGATGTCCAATGGTAAAGGTAAAATGTATCACCTTTCAGTGCTATTTGATAGGGAAAGGTGATAAATTTACCTTTACACCTTTGGACTACAGATTGTGAATAGGATTTTATATTAAACGCGTTAAGCCCGCATTACATCTGTTTATTTTTTCGAATATTTTTATCACATATATTTAGGCATGTATAAATTCATAAAGATGCACAGATGTGACGCCGGCTTTAGTTATGTATATCTAGGCAGTTCATACACCATTATCTTTTTGAATTTTGAATTGATGGATTTGTCCGTAACCTGGGGTTACACTTAATAGTCCTATCTATTTTTACCTGGTATGCGTGCGCAACACGAGACAATCCCTTTTCATTGGCTAACTAGTACAGGTGTGAAGTGATCGTTTTGCACGCTGGGCATCTTCTTGTCCTTGTTCATTGCCCGTAGTCTGACAAGAATAAACGTATGGTTGATAGTCAACTTGACAAGCGTCATTCAAAAGTTGTTTGAAATCACTTTGAAATTTCCATTGACAAATACGTTGCACAATACGCGGTCTTCCTTCTTCCCTTTTTATCCTGTGCAAATAAGAAGGACAGATTGATATACGTAAGTCTAACATAATTTGGTACGTTTTGCCTCATCTTGCGCAATGAGCATTCTCTGTGTTTTTTTATCTAATGAAGTTTTCGTATTATTACCTCTTTATCTGGTAAAATAGATAGGTCTATTCTCGACTTAATTTTCAAATTAAACCCGCCTAACTTTTTTATTTGAAGTTTTCGACAGAAGTGTCACAGACAAGAGGTTTACGAAATTGTCAAAAGTTTTTAACTACGCACTGCTACACTTTTTTGATGCACCCTGTATGCTTAAAACTGACTTAAACCGAATTTTTGCGACGAATTACTTCCATGATTTCATGAACACAAGCGCTTTCGCAAGAAACTCATGACGTCATATTGAACGTAGTTCGACGGAAGCATGTGCGCAGCTTCTAGCCAGCGTTCAAACTCATGACGTCACAGACGAACTATGGTTCATCTTTGGATGAACTACATTCGTCGCGAAAATTCGGTGATAGTTGAAAACTTTTGACAATTTCTTAAAACTTTTACATTTGACACCTTTGCCAAAAACGTCAAATGAAAAAGTTAGGAGGGGGTAACACTTATAATAGATCTCCCTGTACAAAAACCATTAAAATATAATAAAAACACGAGTAAAAACAGCTATCAGAATGTCAAATATTTTCAATAAGAAAGACATATAAAGATGCAATTTTTTCAAAAATCATGTAAATAAAAAGCAGGATGCTCCATTTAGAAAACATTTCATCCATGGAGTAAGTCTTTTATTTTTGGTTCGAATGTTCTTTTGATAAATTACACTTTTGAATTATGCGGATGAATTTGCTCAAAACTACAGGGAAGTTCGAAAATACAGTCTTCTTTGGAATTCCCTGTACTTTGTACAAGCCAGTTTCTTATGAGAATCCTGTAGAAACTTTGCTTGTATAGAGTTTCAAGTTATAAGGTATAGGTACCACCACCGGTAACTTTTTTATTTTTGATCGTACATAAAAAAGTTACAGGTGGTGGCACTTTAGGCGATTTCGCCCCAGATTTTCATCTGCTGTTTGGTAGGCGAATGGTTAACCACTTGTTACGTGAGTGACATAACTCAATAATGTCATCCTAATTCAGTAGATAGGGCATTTAGTACATTTTGACTTTGACATGTTCATTTAGACATGGGACAGAAAGAGATAGAAAGCTACCAAAGTACCAAACCTCCACTACCCAGTTACAAACCGCAGTCAACTACGGTATAGCATTTGACAGACCAAAGCGCCTACCAATGTTGTTGTGACAGCATCATTTTCCCATCCGAAATTGATTGGTACCTGTGTGACAGACTAAACTGGGGTACTAAACTGAGGCAAAATCACCTTTTATAACTTGACACCCGGTACTTAATTGACCTTTTCAATTTAGAAGCCTCTCTCTCTGGTGTCATACTGTCAGACGCCAAAAAAGCATGAAAACAATAATTGACAGCCGTTGACAGTGGTTTGTTAAAAAGACTTTTTCCTACAGCCGTGCGGAAAAATCGATTTTCCGCACTGATATGCGTGCGGAAAATGAGTTTTCCCGCACGGTGCGGTAAATTTTTTTTTTTGACATATCAGTGCGGAAAAAGTTTTTCCGCACGGCTGTCAGTGCGGAAAAAATTTTACCGCACTGATATGTCAAAAAAAAAAAAAAAGAAAAATTTTACATTTTTTCGCCTGTAGGAAAAATATTGTACCTAACACTTGCAGAAAATATTTTTCCGCACTTGTTAGGTAAATAGCTATTATATGTTCGGAGACTGAAAACTATTATTTCCTCGGTTTTTTCCTAACAATGGTGATTGTGTGTAGGGTGCCTTTTCGTGAAAATAATTCCTATTCACCGGCGGACGTGTCTTTCCATAAGTTTTTATCAAATCCTACATTTGTCAAAATTTGGATACACAAAATTAGAAAGGATACTCGCAAAAGAAAGGCCCATCAAGTATACAAAGTAATCCACGTTCAAGTTTAGTTTGCGGAAGCTGTTTGCTTTCCACATTTTCCTTCCAATTTCAAATTTCACCATTCTATGTCGGCCGTTGTCATTTTCCATTCACTGAACAAAGATACCTAACTCATCCGTGGAGTCACCGATTAGAATAAAAACCCAGGGGATTGATAAACACCCAATACACTTGACAAGCAAGCAAATGTTGGCGGGAATCTGATGTTTTCATACTATATCGTCCATCTCTTTTAATTGAAAACGTCAATTCTGTTCGTGGTGAAATTTTCAATAGTAATATAGGTAACTAGTGCAATGGAAATTATTGATAATTTTTGGGAAATTTGCCCGAATGCATTTTTAGTTAAATTTTTTGTCAAAAAATGTCAAAACACCAGTTTTCGCACCAGTTAGTATGCAATTATCTGATAATTTGCACTAGTGCAAATTATCGCGTAATTACAATCTAATTGGTTCAAATCAACAATCAAAACATGTCAATTTATTGTTGGAATACCAGTTTTGACAGATGTATGAAATTCTCAAGGTATTTTAATATCAATCTGGTTGCAAGTACAAAATACCTATTGTTGCCAAATTAACGAATTAATCTTTCTTTTTCTAGGTAGACACGCTCTCGAACGGCAATCATGCCACGTCGCACCACACTTACGGCGGTATTCCGGGGGCGGAGCCCACGCCACCCCCGGAACCATCGCCTACAGGGTCTACGGAATACCCAAAAATTAAAATCAAAACTACTGGGTTGTTCAAAGACCCCGAACCACGAGGCTGTACCATTACCGAGATAACTGATGACAATCCTACAGGAGAATCTAGTAAGTAGTTTAAGCCTTAAGGATTATATACAGGGTGGCCCATTGAAAACGAAACAGAGGTGATTTTGGGTTCCCCAAGACATTTAAGAAAAAACCCTCGTACCCGTCGATTTTTGATTTGAGGGGGAACTATTTTTTTTGTGGTTTCACCCCCTGGGGGGCAAAGCCATAGCGGGGGTGACAAGGGCCCCCAAAATTTTAAATGGAATGAGGGGTCGAGTGATACCTTATTTTGAAGCTATTTTTATGTAGATTATAACCTCCGAGTCTTACATCGCTACTATCTACCTAGCCATTACAGGAGCTAATTTAAGTTACAAAAACATGTTGGAATATTTTGTATTTAAAAAATGCTTCAAAAACAAAATCAATCAATTAAATGCCGAAAATGACCCCAGAAGAAAAAATCTAACGGGCCTAAATCTGGAAAACATGGGGGCCACTCAATATTGACGAGCCACTGCAGCATAGTGGAGTGACGCACAATCTGGTTCTTGTTGGGATATTAGTGTATGCATCTGTTGTCATTCTCTAATATCTCCACCAATTCTGGATGAAGCGCATCTTCTAACCACTCTAGGTACATTTCTCCCGTTAAATTTATAGGTAAAAAAGGGGCCTATTAGGTATACGGTTATCAAAAGTGCTAGCCCAAACACTGAAATAATCTACATCTCCATAATGCCCTAGGACGGTATTTCGCACGTATTATACCTGCAAATAGGGTTATTATTTTCAAATAATAAACTGGCACGACATAAAATAAAGAAGGAGCATTTAGAATCTACCAGCAGGTACCAGTTAGTAAATTTGTAGGCTAATGTCAGTTTTTATGCCGATATGGAGTATTTATTATTAACTTTAGTGAGTTTTTTAAAGTAATAATGGTTTACTCGCTTGCCGAAAGGGTAGAAATCATTGAAATTTACTTCTGGAGTCAGTGCGCTAATCAATCAACGTCACCAAGACAAGCATGTCTATCAGAAGTATGTTCTGGAGCTAGTTCAAAAATTTCGAGCAACAGGAAACCTATGTAACAAAAAACGGTTATTGAAAACGCAGTTATAAATAGAGCCACTGAGGTAGCGGTCTTGGGACAGATTGTTCTGGATCCTACTTTAAGTACAAGACAAATGTCCACAGTTTCTGGTATTAAGCAAAGTAGCATTCAAACGATTTTAAAAAGAAACAAGTTTGATCCCTATAAAATACATCTGGTGCAGGAACTTAATGAGGACGATTTTGACCGGCCGGCGCTTGCAGTTTTGTGAAATTATGAGTGAGCGAGCAACCAATGATCCGAATTTTATTTCCAATATCTGTTTTTCCGATGAATGCACCTTTTTTTTAAATGGGCATCGTAAATCGCCATAACTGCCGCTATTGGAACGACTCAAATCCTCGAATTTTCCATGAGGTGCACACATAACAGCCTCAGAAATTGAGCGTTTGGGCTAGTATTTTTGGTAACCGTATAATAGACCCCTTATTTACCTATAAATTTATCAGGAGAAATGTACCTAGAGTGATTAGAAAATGCGATTCATCCAGAATCGGTGGAGATACTAGAGAATGATAACGGATACATGGAAAACCGTCTAATATTCCAACAAGATGGTGCGCCACCCCACTATGCTGCAGTGATTCGTCAATATTTGGACCAAAGGTTTTCAGGACAATGGATTCGAAGGAGAGGAGCTATTGAGTGGCTCCGGCGTTCTCCAGATTTAAGCCCGTTAGATTTTTTCTTCTGAGGTCATTTTCAGAATTTACTTGATTGATTTTGTTTTTAAAGCATTTTTTTAAATAAAAATGTTCCAACATGTTTTTGTAACTTTAATTAGCCTCTGTAATGGCTAGAGGTAAATAGTAGCGATATAAGACTCGGGGGTTATAATCTACATAAAAATAGCTTCAAAATAAGGTATCACTCGACCCCTCATTCCATTTAAAATTATGGGGGCCCTTGTCACCCCCGCTAGAGCTTTGCCCCCCAGGGGGTGAAACCACCAAAAAAATGGTTCCCCCTCAAATCAAAAATCGACGGGTATGAGGGTTTTTTCTTAAATGTCTTGGGGAACCCAAAATCACCTCTGTTTCGTTTTCAGCCACCCTGTATAATTACCCATTAGATTCTTTTATATTTTCCAATCAGAATTAGAAACTATGATTAGAGATCTTATTTATGACAAATTCATTTATGAAATATAATGAAATTAATCATGCCTTATTACCATAGATATTATAGTTCAGAAATTCTAGGACACAAAATACATAATAAATGTAGTTACAGGGTGGTCCACCATAAATTGGGGAGTCAATTACAGACATAATAATCACAGTTTCAACTTCCCATATTTCCGAAATAATTGGATATGGGTATATGACATTATACATGAATTTACATTTTCCGTAGAATCAAAAAATACATAACAGGGCATCGCATTAAAAAAAAAATACAACTTCTGTCAAAATTTGACATTCACGATGTTCATTTGTTCGATCTGATCAAAAAATATGCTGGTTCAGGTAGAGCGCTATTATAAGCTCTGTTCCAACCGACATATGAGAACCGGTCTAGAACGGTAATTTCCAGTCGATCAATTCATTTGTTAAGTAGGATAAATGTTCAACTTATTGAAAAATAGTTGGGCAACTGGAAATTGCTGGTTCTGGAACGGTTCTTATGTCGGTTGGAACAGAGCTATAGTTTTTTTTTTACCTTTTTTACCTGTCACCTGTTAGTATGGGTATGGTTGGCAGGTGGGGGGAGGGTCAATTTATGGTGGACCACCCTGTTCTGGGTCTTTGTTTATAACTGAAACACTCGATAACTTTCTTACAATTGAAAATAAAAGGCATGTTTAAGGTGGAAAATTTCTTGGTAAAGTTCAACCCTAAGCACTACAACGATTTTTTTTTCTAGTCATAGGTATACAGGGTGCCACAATATGGTATTTTTTTTTAATGGAAAGCCCTGCCCGACGCCCTGTATATTTTTGTTATCCAGATAGTGTTTGATTTTTTTGTGAAGCTAATTTTCTAAGAATTTCAAAAATGCAAAAATATACAGGGCGTCCTATTCAAAAAAATATCATTATAGCGATTAGGATCGTTGCAATTTACCAAGAAATTTTCCAATTTACACATGCCCTTTATTATCAATAATAAAAAAGTTACTGAGTGTTCCAGTTATAAACAAACACCCTTTTTAATACATACCTACATGCAGGAAGACACAATAAAGTGAAAAAATACACTCAGTACTACAGTGTGTGCTGAATTTACTTACCATATTATAAGATGTTCTAGACTGTTTTCTAGTTGGGAAAACATTATATTTTTATTAATACCTGTTCCTGAACAGAGCACTTTTTTTCAGGCCAAAATAATTCGGCACCGGTATGGACGACACCATCTTTAGACGATCCCCTGAAACTTCCGGACAGCGATAGTTTACTATCTATGTTCAATGAACGCAACAATAAGGATCTCGGGTATTCTTCGAATAGCGATAATGAATTTATATCGTTGGATACTTTCAATGAACGGAATAGGGGTCAGTCGATGGTAAGTCAACTTTTCAAAAATATCTACATATCGAATAAAATATGTTTGGCAATACTACAGTTTGATCAATGAAACTCTCAAAATGTTTATATTAATTAGGGTTTCCATTAAGGTTTTTCGGAATTCAGGACATAGGAGTCAAGAAATCCGGACAAAATCCGGACTTCGCCGAAATAGCTATTGAGAGTGTGTAAAGTGAAAGGCGAGTGCGACAAAATTCACATTTGTGAAAAAAGGTTCAATTCACACACGTATTGCATAATATACAAACAGTTTTCTAATCTATGGTTTTTTACTACCAATAAAATATGTGTAAAAAAATAAATTTGGACAAATACTTTACACACTAGTGATGACGTCACCCGCAGACCACGATAGAATGCTTGCGATTCAGGCTGTGCTAGTGAGTTAATTTTTTCGTCGATTTTAAATGTAGAAAAGGTGATTTTCGGTCTGTTCTCACAAAAGAAGTTAAGTGTTTTTGATTCTTGAGTATCCCAGAATTTGATGATGACTCACCATCATTCCTAACTCACTCATCATTGATGAGTGAGTTAGGGGAGTATGACACAATTGATCACATAATCTAACATACTCGAGTATGCTTGGTTATCCTCGCGAAAAATTGCCTAGTGAGTGCCCTAGTGTGTAAAGTGACTCGGGTACTTTACGTACTAATGCGTGAAGTAAAATTTTACGTCTTTTGGATAGGGCGTAAACTGAGGACGAGTGTTTTCACGATCTCTGAGTTTGCCGGACATTGTTCCGAATTCCGGCCGGACTTCCCCGGACACCCTAAAAACCCAAACATGTCCGGGTAAATCCGGACGTATGGAAACCCTAATATTAATCAATAATGATCAGTTAATGCTCGAGCTAATGGTTTGAACTATTCCCTAGCCCCAAAATTTATAAACAAATTGAAGGGATAAGCTAAAGCAAACATATTTTTATGTATAAACGCCACCATAGCTTCCCATAAGTCAATCTTGTAATTTTATTTTATTCCTTATTTTATTTTATTTCAATTCCTGTATAAATCCAGCTTAATTTAATATCAAGTCGCCATCGTGATTTTCGGTAGATCTACCCAAAATCGCGATCGCGATACTGAAAGTCGTGATACTCATGATCACGTCATGCTTTAAAATCGCGTACTGTATCACTTACCAGTGTGCAGTGTGATTTAAAAACACGGTATCGCTCATCACTACTTATTTTGAAAATTTGAAGTTATCCAAGGACCCTGTTCAAATCATGCTCAAACATCGTTTCAAAGCTGGTTCAACCAATGGTTTAACCTAGGGTTTAACCATGGAGGTAGAATAGGAGACGCTGTCATCATTTGAATAGTGCAATAGATAAGGGCATCGGTAGGCGTAGCTGGTGTAGGAACAAAATGGCTACTTAAACAGAGCCGAACTAAATGGATTCTTTATAATTTTTATCTAAAAACGTATAAAAATGGAGATTACACCAAGAAAGAAAAAGTTGCTACAGAAACTTCGGCATACTGAAACAGAAGATCCTTCCAAGAACCAAAATAGGAATTCTGCGGTTCAAAAAGTTTTCGCATTTAAAAAATCCTCGGATGGAAAATGCGGCCCTGTTGCAATCCTGACGCGTGGCTATGACAAAAGTGACAGAATCTCAGACAGAAGTGTAGTAACAACACAGCATAACATGCGGAAGTGGATACACTTTTTTCTCCTCATTTAGGACCAAATTATGGACTGACTGGTAAACGTCTGGTTGTTACCTAGCAGGTACTTTCTATGCACTAGGGAATAGAAAGTACCTGCTAGGTAACAACCAGACACTTACCAGTCGGTCCATAATTTGGCCCTTAGCCTCCTTATTATTCTACCTCAATGGGTTTTAACAGACACCCTTGCAACATGTCATCAAAAAAAAAAACCGTCTCTGATATGATGACTTTGACAATTGGCTTGCCAACCTGCAACCAACCAAACAAAAACTCTCAAAAACGACACTGTTGCCACATCGTTTCTTCATATCTCGGATGACCTAACTCAAGCATAATACACACATACTACTAAGGATTAAGATTACTTATCGGCCTCGTTATTGGTATTCGCGGCCATATTGGTGTATCACCATTGTCGACGTCATTAACTAAGTCGTCAGCTGTTTATGCCAGCGGTCCTAGTTTAAAATTTAAATTTATGATGGAAAATATTATTTAATATTGATTAACATATTAGGCAAAGAGCAACGACGTAGCTATAGCTTTTACATGGGGGGGTTTAAGAGCAGTGGCGGCTCGTGGTCTATGCTGGAAAGGATTTAAATTTTAGTATTCAATTTCAGTATATGTAGGTAACCTGGCATAGCATAACCAGCTACCAAAGGATATCGCCAAAGGCGGGAATTTTTTTTGGGTTCCAAGCCCAAAAACGTTTATTTAAAAAAAAAATAAAATTATTCAGTTCAATGGGGGGGGGGGGAGGGGTTTGAACCTCAGACTAATAATAAAACTAGAGACCAAACATGCCATTTACAAATCGCCCAATGTTTACAATCAATCATCTTTTAGTCCATGACATAAGTAAGATAGAGATAGACCTATAAAATGGCAACACTGTTCAGTGGCGGCGAATTCAGTTTCCTCTGATTTTTTCCCAGAATTCAATAGAAGTTTTACTCACAATAAATTACCATAAATATCCTCTAACTACGCCAATGTCAAGATCGAAATGATGTCAAATTTCTTACCGCCGAAATATCGAATTCTGTTTGGAATCCTTTCAGATAATACATCGACGTACCATTGTTACTTTCTCCACCACACTTTCTACAGTTTTGAATCCAAAAAAAACACTCAAAATCTCAAAAAATCACAAAATTACCTTAATCACTTTCCAGCAACATTGTCAAATCCCTAATGGATGCCAAAAGTCACATAAAATCATCTGATTGGCTGCTCGTAGATGCAACGTTGCCGATGTGCCGTTTTTCGGGCCATATATTCCTGGTTATTCCAGAATTTTCACCAATTTAAATTGAAAAAAGACTAATTATCTTTTTCAAAAAGGCGTTTTAGTTATGTTTCAACAAAGATTGATATAAAAAAACATTTACATCATGTTAAAACATATTTTGAAATAATGATTATCCGTGAAAACATTTAATATTGAAAATCACATCGGATTATTGGCAACCGGGCATTTCATGCAAAAATCGACCTTATGGATGTTGGATCACAAATTGTTTGTTTTCTGTTGTATCTGTCGTTTTTAGTTGGTAATCTGAGGTTTGAACCCCCAAACCCTCCTCGCCCTTATATACGTCCTTGGCAAAGAGGAAGATGCAAACGAGGTCTAAAAAGGGGTCGTGAATGTTAACTAATGAAGTGAAACCAAGTGTGCATGAAGCAAAAGCCCGCAGAATCATAACCTGTGGTGCAAGCAGCCTACGTCAAGGCGAGAAACGATATACTGCCTACGTCACAGCTGGTGATTTGGCGTGGTGAGTGGCTTCACTCGGCTTCAGATTTGTTCTACTCAGGCCCTATGAAGATAGGCTATCCTTTAGTAATAGTGTGTGTATTATCCTTGGACCTAACTCACCTTGATTTAGTATTTTATTGAACGAATTCGGTTCAAATCTACTCAATTGAACCCGATCGTATCAGTTCAATCCGAACTGAACCGACCTCGTTTTTAGACAAATACATACGGTTTTCCGTTCAAATTCGATGTGGAGAAAAGACTGATTTACCGCGTGGATCTACTCAAAATAGCGAGACAAGATCTGTCAGTCGGGTGTCCTAGTTTCAATGCTCACGATTGTATATGCATCAAGCTTGAACTCAATTCAATTTCAATCAAAGCTTGAAGCCGTGGGTACTCCGAAATCAAATTTTCATGTAGTTACTTGTATGTGGGACATCCTGTATAACTGATAAACTAATTTCGTAAACTTTGTTGAAAGATAAAAAATACACAACGCTTACATGTTTCAACCAATTCAATAAAGAATAAACTATACAAAAAAAATGATAAACTTTATTTTTCCCATTTTGAAGAACGGTATTGATGAAATTGTTTGTTTTAAACACCCTGTATTCTTGTATATTAGAGAGCCCTTTTCCTTCAAGTTAAAATTTTCTAATCAACCCAGTAAAACGTGTAGATCAAATAAAATTAATACAAAACCATCTATCTATAACTAACATATTTTGGTGATATTATAAAGTCTGTTTTTTTTTTAAAGATAATTCCCCAAGTTAAAAATTTAGTAACTATGTTGGCAACATAAGCCTTTTCTACATAAAAAATTTAAAACACAGTTTACCTACATGTTTTGCGCTTGAATTTTTGGAGCAGGCTCTGTCTAAAAATATTCTTCAGGTGCATGGAACTACGCTGTTAAATCCCCCGTTACGAAAACGGCAAGGCGAAGATCAAAGTTTGATTTACGACCATACGACCGAGTGCAAGGGGTGGCGGTACCGGTACTCGGTACTGTTTGTTCGTGTACTTTCAAAAGAGAACTTCTGTCTGATTGTGTTAAAGTTGAACGTTGATTGTCGTTTATTAATTAGTCTTTATACGAAAAATTAACAGTTGACACTTACAGTTTACAGTTTACCGCGCTTTTCGTTTTGGAATCGTTGGTTGGAAGGAATCATGTTGATGCTTGCATTATTGGATCCATTTGATCTTTCGATCCACGGTTTATTCCTCATTGGGGTAGGTGCTGATCATTCGCTCATTTTAGTTTTTCGATATACTGCCTTTTTTTAAGTTCAAAAATCATGTTCGCAACCACCAAAGCAACTAAATGTGTTGGTGGTTGCATATTTTATTGATAACCACGAGAATCTAAAAAAAGCATTGAACTTAACAAACATCTGGAACGGGCGCACTGCTTTAAGCTAGTGAGGCGAATTTTGATATATGCAACCCAGCAATAGGGAGGGATTGTTGTCTCACTCGCACTCATTTCATTGCAATTGACGTAAAAGAAAGAAGAGCTTCTTCATCTTCCTAACCTCATCAATGATCCAAACACTTCAAAAAGTTGGTCTCAATAGCTGCCATAGTGCAGAGAGAGATGCAAATCCCTCTTGTTTGTTGTCCTTCCTAGCACAAACCCTTGCGTAGAAACATTATGCAGCCACCGTTCCAGTGTGTTTGCTTAGTTCATTGAAAAAAAGCGAATTGTAGATAATCTTTAGAATAATGTTTATGCCAAAGGATTTTGGAAATTATTGCGAATTTTTTGAGATGATCCTAAAACGAATTTTGAAGATGAAAATTGGTGAAAATTTGACAGTTACAGTTCAAGCAGTTTCGAGTAGATGGTGCCATGGCAAAAAAGCTATATTGGGAGCATCATGATTAATTGTATATTTGTCTTTCTCTTTCACTGAGTGTTTTACCGACGAACAGATTTCGTTTTGGACAAAAAATAAATATTGAACCGTATATGTAGACTGCGTCATTTAAAAAACTAAATTTAAACATGGCGGCTACTAACGCGGCCTTATATATTTTCACTATATTCATTAACACTAACACTAGTATAGTTGAAATCACGATAGAAAGTGAAGTTGACAGTTCGCGTTGACATTTCTAGTAACTTTTCCTTTAGGTTGCCAGCCATGCATTAGCGCTTCGATTTCGTCAGCTGGGATAAACGACAGGGTCGTATTTAGAAAAGTGATATAAATTTCAGAATAAAAATTTATTTTCAATTTCTTTAAAGGAAGTTAAGTTATTAAAATCCAGAAATCCAAAAATTAGAGTCCAAAGTAAACACTTGTATAAAAAGTAAACACTTAAAATCCAAACTAAAACCAGGTTTGAAAGGCAACACCGAAACACAAAGGTACAGAACACTACATAAAAAACCAAAAAACCTATTGCGAATATAACAAATCAAAAAATAATACAAAAAACGGCAAAAAACTGAAACGATTTCACACAAAAATTCGAAATTCAAAGACCCGAATCTGATATTTTTATTTGTCAAATCAAAATGTCATGTATCATTATTTGATAGTTGTCAGAAAAAGGGGCAGATCTGGGGGATTTTATTTACTTTCAACTGGTGAAAATAACGGTCAAAATTCAAACTCTATCGTGGATTCAACTATAACATGTTTGTTGCTACACTCTAGCCACATCATTATTAACCGCAGGTAAAAGCTACAGTTAACACCTATCCTAATAACAATAGTTTAATATCAAAGCAAGAAACATCTTTGCTATTACATAAGACTGAAGAAACGCGGCTTATTGGATCGCAGTAGAGCGGTAAAAACGAGGTATCTGCGACCGAGCAATATTGGGCTGGGTTGCAAGTTGGATGAGTGACAGGGCCGAGCAATATTGGACTGGGTTGCAAGTTGGGTGGGTGACCGCCGTGTCACCCGATGCCGAGTTCAAGGGAATCTCACCAGTGAAGCCGCATCGGGGCACCGCTAGCGTCGGTCGACTGTCCAACTTGCAGAGTGAATGAGGAGGAGTAGGGGCAGGGCATGTGCAAGGATACACAATAAGTCTTCAGGGCTGCAGTGCTGAGCATATGCCTGAACTGAAAGAATGGGACAAATCAATCAATCAAGGCTGAAGAAACGATAGGTCTGTTTCTGCAGAAATCACAAACCAGTTAGAGCGAATTTCATTGGTTGAAAACAGTCAGAAACAGACAGAAAACTAGTTTCAATCAATGAAATTTACTCCGACTGGTTTGTGATTTCTACAGAAACAGACCTCATATAAAATACGAGTTGCCCTGATTCCTGATCACAAACTTCCTGATTGCTCAAAACATACATAAAGTCTGTTTTTTTTTTATAGATTATCTCCCGAATGAAATATTTAGTAACTATGTTGGCAACACAAGCCTTTTCTACATAAAAATTTTTACATTGTATTGCCAACATGATGTCATTTTGACTTCTATCTTTAAAAAAAAAACAGACTTTAATCAAGTATTAGGCAATTCAATCCATCTGTCAAAAAGGAAAATTCAATATGGCGTGGCGGCCAAGCAAGTTTGTTTTTAATATGTTTTTATGCGTATTTTAAATTATTCTACTTAAAGTTTTGTTTGCAACTTTAATTTTGATTATTTAATAAAATATTTGTTGATTAGGTACCTAAACTATTAAATCGGACAGAAACTAGATATTTTTTTTGTGTTTTTTGGCCCATGTGTGGCCGCCATGCCATCTTGAATGTCACGTGGTTTGAATTGCCTAATAGGATTCAGTACAACGATCTCGCATTTCAGAACATGCTTTTGAAAAATGTACTATCTTACCTGGGCCTACCAGCACCCCAGATTTTAGAGTCCATTGAAGATAAGTTCACAGGGTTGCCAAATTTTTGTTCGTTTCCGAGATACAAGGGATCATATAAACACAACTAAAAGCTGGTGTAAAGATAATTATTAGGCCATTTTATAGAAAAAAAGAAATTAATCCACTACTGTCACAATCTAGCTGTAGCAGGATGACAAAGAATAGCGTATAAGTCGGTACAGATTTTTATTGTTATGTATTTTGAAGGTAGTAATGGTAGTATAGAAGCTGATATTGAAACTTTTATATGAAACACTTCCTTCTAAAGTTGATAGATTATGACATATTATTCATTATTCATTAAATAAGTTTTAGACATTTTTTACATTTTCCCTTATATCTATGAAACGGACAAAAATTTGGCAATCATGTGAACTAAACAAAACTTCAATGGACACTATGTCACTATGATGTGATTTGGGTCCGATCTCCCAAGTAATGCGTCAGCAGAGTGACACTACGGTCGTTGACACCATAGGCCTTAAGCTTGTCCAGATGAATACAATGAGTGACACAGTCAAATGCCTTTGAGAGGTAGCAGCATGTGACACATGTATACTGCCCCCTCTCAAATGCCTCCGCTATACATCCCAGCAGCTCCAAGACAGCCAGAGCAGTTGACTTGTTGGTCCTGAACCCAAATTGGTTTTCAGAAAACAGTCTCGAGTTCTCAAAGTATGACTACAGTTGATGCTTAAGTAAGCATTCAAATACCTTGTATATCACTGGGACAAGTGAGATAGGTCGGTAGTTGTTTACAGCATCCACGTCACTCTTCTTAAATACAGTAACCACGAACCACTCTTGACTTCTTCAAACAGATAATTCTAAGTGTTCTTGATAAAAGGAAAAAAGTACTTGTTAGACCGCCTTTGTTACAAATAACGAATTCCAGGGTCGAGTTAAGGTAAAAGTTTAGTAAAAAACACTGATGATCACTTTTAAGAGCAGAAACGTCGGCCAATCATTTAGAAATCACCTTGTATTTCGTAAACTAAAAGGAATTTGGCAACACTGTAAACGAGTCTTGAATAAGCATCAAAAAAGGAAACTTTTTTCTAATTTAACCGACCTCGTACCTCTTACGGTTTCGGAGATAGCAATAGTGGTATCACTTAAAACGGACACCCTGTATAAATATTCTGATAAATCCACAAGGGTTGATCCTGCTAATACCGAGAGACTTGTTCTGGGCAGAAGCATGGCTTCCAAACTTAGTTACACTTTTGATTCTAGTAAAATCAGAGCTACTAATCTTGGTGAAACTATAGCTACTAATCCTGGCAAAACCATAACTATTCATCCTGACGAATTACAACAATGAGGCCACAAGTGATAATAAAGTTAACTCTCGAGATATTATCTTGGCAACACTTTTAATTTCAGTAAAATCAAAGCTTTGAATTGTGGTAAGAAGTCAGAAGAAGGCTATAAAGACAACAGCGTCAGCAGTTGACAAAATGATAGAAACTTTCAATAACTTAAATACAAACCAAAAATTAACTCATTTCCAATAAAAAAAAAATCTATAGAACTACCTACTCATCATTCTTACAGTATTGCCAAATTTATTTCTCGTCACAAATCCAATCACAAATCTAAAGCTTATCTTATTATTTTCAGCAACTCTATAATCCGAACAATGCAGTGGCCACTACATCATCACTGCAATCCATCGCAGGTTTGCCGATGCAAGCCTTGGCTCAGCAAGTTTCACGGATGAATCCGGGTAACGGGCAAGGCTTGCACCAACAAAACGTCTTGATCAACATACAGCAGTTTCCTACGCCACCTCAAGCACCGTATCCACCTCAACAGCATCAGCACTATCCGCCGCACTATCCTCCGCCGCATCCTGGACAAAACAATATGCACCAACCCTATCAGTATCAGTACGTATCTAATAACAATTTTTAATCCAAACCGAATTTTCGCGACGAATGTAGTTCATCCAAGGACGAACCGTAGTTCGTCTTGTGACGTCATGAGTTTGAACGCTGGCTAGAACCTGCGTCCATGCTTCCGACGAACTATGTTCAATATGACGTCATGAGTTTCTCGCGAAAGCGTTTGTGTTCATGAAATCATGGAAGTAGGTCGTCGCAAAAATTCGGTTCTAGATTTTGTGAGGAAAGTAATGCAATGTGTCTCAAATAAATCTATTTGCTAAATGAAAACACAAAAAACTTGACCGACTTTATTGCAGTCATGGTTAATAAAGAAAATAAACTAAAATCGAAATTAAATCTAAAACAAAATGCACGCAAATTCAGTGCAACGGTACTGTACAAAATTTATGATATCAAAATAACAATAATAACGTGTCAGTAGGTAATAGTTGAAGTCCAATGGCGTAGCCAGTAGGGGGGCAGGGGGGGCGATAGCCCCCCTTCGCCCTTACACGTGTGGCGCCCCTATCGCTCTTAAAAAACAAAAGCAAAAAATAAGTAATAAAATTTTGCTGTCTCTTATTTATTTTATCGGCCTCGTCCCCTAAGGAGCTTCGCAAAAAATAGGTTACCGAACCTTGAAATTGACACCTTTCGATTTTCCAAAATAAAACGTAGAGAACAAATAAACCTAATCCTATACAAAACTTCTAAATATCATAGATTTCGGTTTTCGCTAAAACTTATCAATTCTACTGCAAATTAACCTAGAACTCTCAAATCATATGGTTTCTATTTCTTTCGGTAGATTGTGGGAAAAAAATTAATATTTTTGACTGAATAAGTATTATTATCAAATAGTATTCATACTAATACTACTAATACCGTTGATATGCCTGGAGGCGATTTTACATAGTATACCATGAAGAGACCCTCGAGTCTATAAGCTCCGCCCCCAAGCCCAGTCCAGCTTTGGTACAGTATAAAAGTGTCTATAATGCGGTATAGAATGTAAACAGCAGTGCGCAAAATGGGGTATGGTAGGTAATCGCGTTAGTCGCACGCGGGATAACTATTTCAACTTATAACAAACCTGTATTTGGGCATTCAGACTATTTTTCAAATAAATGTCACGTCGGATAATGGCCTCAGTTATTTTTTAAATTTTGATGTTAATTTGTGCATTGCATCCGTTTTTCCTGTCCAAATTAGAACTGCCCTTTTTCTGTGCATTCTTGTTAAGGTTGTTATGCTAGATTTGGACAGACGAAAATTTTGCGAAAAGCTAATTTTTGTACATTCGGAAGCGATCTCCTAACAATCCAGTTTGTATATATATCGTCACTAAGCTTTTCCATAAAACTCTTAACTTCTTATGCAAAATCACTTCCCATTATTTGCATTTCATTAGAGCCTTATATTCTTGACAACTTTCAAATTCCAAAGTTTCTATTTCTACCTCAGGTTGTAATTTTTTTAAATTGAATCTCTTTACCTACTCTGCGCACCCATCTTACTTTGTTCTCACTTCCAACACTTGCACACTAAATGCAAATGACGATTGTATCCAAATCGTGGGTTCTAGAATCCTTGGATATTTTCAGCGTTGTCATGCTGTCTCAATTCATTCAACCCTACTCCTACTACAAACTATACCGCATTTGGCGCCCTAACTATCAGGTATCCTTTGGCGGGCCTGCCAGCGGCTACCCGTCCCTGCTTTTTGTCACAAGAAATCCTATGGCCACCCCACCCTACATAAAAAGGGCCTCGCAATTCGGATGTCGCCGACGTCCACGTTTGGTTTGGCTCTGGCTACGCCACTGCAGTTCAATCAAAGGAATAAGGAAAGGTGATAGTTCAATTCTGTTTTGATGATGGATGTAATATTTAATTATTAAACTATGGGTTATTGGGTTGGGTGGGGCTGTCATCCTTCCGGATTTCCCGGATTTGTTCTAGTTTTCAAGGCGTCTGGAGACGTGGAGACGTCCGGAAGGAGTTTTTGAAGTTAACGGCATGTCCACACATTATTTCTTGTAAGGCTTAAAATACATAAATGCTTTTCGGATTGGCACCGTGGCACCCGAAAAAAAAATGTTTTTGAAGGCTTAAAATAAACTTTTTTGGGCGTGGCACTCGAGGAAATCTTTCGGCTCCGTCGGGCTTTTCGTCTTTAATATTTTTCCCCCAATAAGCACATATTACAAAAGCATACAAACATTCATTTGTGATACCCTCCTTCCCCCCCCCTCCCCCGCCAAAAAAAATAATTATGCGCCCCTTATATGTTTGCCCCTTCCGCCCCGTAAGGCTGGCTACGCCACTGTTGAAGTCGTTGAAGAAAATAACTAGAAACAAATTTAGATTCAAGCACAGCCTCCTACACTTAAGTGTAGGAGGCTGTGATTCAAGTCAAAAGTGCACATCAACCCAGAGCAACGACACTGTTCAAGTTTATCACGTCGAAATAACGTAAAGTAGCTATTCACAGTTCGGAAACTCAACCAACGCACCGGACTCAATAGTCTCAATACCTGTGTGTTCCCATAGAACACAATCCAAAATTGGCACCACAATTTGGATTGATACTACAAAAGTCTCACCAGAAAGACTTTCAAACAACTTCTAATTTGTCCTCCCCAGGGGTGGTATTCGCGCGAAATTCATTCTTTGTCGCCGAGTTCAAAGTAGGACTGTGTTATAGACGACGTTATAACAAATATTTCCGAGATAACGGAAGGGTGTGATCAAATTGCATGGAAGGTGAATAATAAATCCTATGGGCTTTTGTGGAGGCAAAACTAATACATAATTTACATCGTGCTTTTTATTTAACAAATAAGAATGTGAAGAATGAAATGTGCGGAAACACAAAAATATATAATGAAGATAATAAAATTTACCTATACAAATACAGCAAAATAGATACTTGAGATGTTTACACCAAAAAAAAGTGAGGTGGCGTAGTTACGAGGGTGGGAGAGATGATGTTTATTACATAAAGAACTTCCAGAAAACCTAGAAAAATAATAAAAAGGAAAAGTGTTAATTTCACACGGTAATATCATGTATACAGGGTGACCCAGAAACAAGTTGTGACAGCTAACTTTATTTTTTTAAATGAAAACATTAATTTTTTATTTCATTTCCTATTTCTTCGTTACATTCTGAACTTATTTTATGTATCATGTCCTATAGTCTAAGAGCCAGTGAATTTTTTTTCGTAAAAAGTTGCCGATGGACAATTTCTTGCTTAAACGATGTAGTATTATCCCCCGACATCGAAAACCATAGTCTGGCAGCATGTAGTGGGGAAGTTTGGCGTAGGCGTATTTGATAAGTCATTAAAAAATTCACGAAATTCGAAATACTTGCCGATGGTCAATTTTTGTGGCATATTATTCAAAAATGTTCCATTAACAAGGCTGTAATAATGCCAACTTGCCGAAACTTTTTTTTTTAATTTATGAGAAAAAAATTGCGAATCAAACGGAAATATTGTCACGACGAGGTTGTAGACCGAATCGTGGTATCCACACGAGTGCTATAATGAGCGTAACCGTACGTGTGATATACAACATTTTATCTACGATCTAGGTTTTTGTTTTATGTATCCAAAATGGTTTTGATTTTTCACAACAGATAATTCGGTTACCTTAAAGCTCAAGGCTGGAAGAAAAATATTTTCTCAACAAGGACTTTAAGCAACGGTGCAATCAGCTGTCAGCAAATGCTGTCATCAGCATCAGGTATCAGTTTTACTTTTAATATTCATAAATAAAAAATGAGTTACCTAATGAGCCTATCAAATTACTAGTGATATTAGGAGAGGATATAATACAACTCATAACATAACTCAAATAGGCTAAAATGGGTTACGTAATACGTAATCCTATTAGGCTCTTATAGTATGGGTGGGTCGTATATGTATAAATTGCAAAAATTGAATTATTTTTACACAAAATCATACATAAGGCAGCATGTTATTTCTCGCCTTGATGTGGGCTGTTTAAACAGCTGACGACTTAGCTATGACGTCGGAAATGGTGAGACATCAATATGGCGGCCATTACCAAAAACGAGGCCGATAGGCCATCCTGTAGGTGTTTATCATCCTTGGGTTGCCTGATAACTTTATTACGTCATCTGGGGTGCCTCAACTTAATGCAAATCTCCATAAGGCACTCCAGATGCGTCATCAAAAGTCTGTTTCCACAGAAATCACAAACCAAAGTTACCTATTACTAGACAACTTCAGGAACCTTGCCGAGGCAACCAACAAATACAACAAGAGACAAAGAAAAATACTGATGCCATGATGAATGAGATTTAATAGGATTTAGACAAACTTCAATTAAACGAAATTATCTTTAAAAAAAAAAACAAAAAATTAAATTGAGATTTCATTATACAGAAGAGAAATATTATGAAATATTATCGAGAGAAAAATACGAATAAAAAATCTTATATTCTTTATGAATTAATTGGTTGCACCTACTTATCGACGATTACTCACATTCTACTCACAAAAAGGCATTACTCACAATTTTGCTCACAAAACTTGAAATTACTCACAATTGTGCTGAAAAAACTTGAAATTACTCACAAATGTGAGTAATTACTCACAAATTGGCAGCCCTGCACGTATTCGCCGAAAATTACCAGCGCTATCCCCTCCCACAAGTATTAAGTTGGATGTACAGGGCGCTTTTAAAAAGGGAAATTTACTCTGAGTCACCCTGTATAATTATCTAACAATGAACTATAAACTACACGTACATGGAATGGTCGCGCCGATTAAAAATAAATGGGGCAATTTGAGATGAAGAATGTGACGGATACCTATCTCTATATTTTATTTTCTTTGTTTTTTATTTAGTTTCCTTGTCTAAAAAATATATTATTTGGGGTAAGGAATATACCAAACCTAACAGCAATGAACTAGAAAGAGAAAGGTAGCCGTCACTATACACCGTGATTTACGTAGCCCGTGCATTAGA